GGGGGGGGGGGGGGGGGGTGGTTTTCCCCCCCCCCCCCGGGTGGCTTTTTTATGGGCGTGAGTGTGAAGCATTTCCAGTCAACTCCATAGATTTTAAAGGGCTTTAGTGTTGTGCTTTTGGTGAATAAAAAACATTAAAGTCATGGACCACCCGTGGTATAACTAAATGAAAAAAACAAACCTCAACTATGGCTCCTACCAGAGATCACGCTAAGTATTTACGGTAAAGTGACAAAACAGACATATTTTGTTTGTTTCTGTGTCTGTGGTGGGTGGTTGTTATTTATATTTATTATGGGATGGGGAGGGGGGGGGTGAACAGGCTGTTCACACCTGAGTAGTACTATTTGGTGCTCAGTGACGTGGACAGCAATACAATGGCGAAGTAAAAAAAAACGAATACGAAATGTGAAGTAAATGAAAGTGCGCACGCTGGGCTGAACCTTGTAGGGTTGAGTTCTCAAAGTTGATGATGCTAAAATTGATGACAGTCATTTTTTTTTAATTTAGAGGTAATATTGCAAATAGCAATTCCATTTGAGAAATCGTTATAATCCATTTAATTGTTTCACTTTGGTTATTCTGAAACGCTTTCGACCGGCCAAATCTTTATTTTTATTTTAATTGGTAATTTAAAAATTATTTTTTTTGAATACACATCAAGTATTTAAAAAAAATTAAATTCTAATTATTTTAAAGACACATATTTCTCAATGAAATTCATCCCATAATCAGGATTTTAAAATAGGGATATTACTTGTGTGTTCTAGTCCAGTGTTGCGCACTGTTCGGTTTTGCGCACTCGCACGGTGCCATGGGCTTTCGTAGCACATGTCGAGAGTTCTGGGACTTTGAGAGTGGCGCGAAACTTGTTTGCCGCTAAAAAAAACAACAACTATTGCTCATCACCATCTGGTGAGGATTTTGTGCTTTTCATCGTTTTTTCGTCGCTGTGAGTGACTGTGTGAACTTCCGGCACTCCAGAGATGCATTAACGATGAAAAGTAACAACACGTCCAAAAAAAAAATGGAGGCGGAACAATTCATTGGCGGTGAGGTTGGGGCTCCATTATGACAACAAACTAATTTCTCTTATAGTTTTATATTTCTTAGAACCTTTGCTGAAATCAGGGGCATTATTTTCTTACTTGAAAAAAGTATATATATTGGCTTATGTGATATAAATATTTGTTTTATTCAAGTGCACAACTTTATTAATAATTAAAAAAAAAAATCCAAATTAGATGGGGGTTTTGGCATACATCATAATACATTATTAAATAATTAGTGGGTTTTTTTTGTTTGTTTTTTTGGTGGCAAGGGGGGGGGGTTGTATTGTCAAAAACATAGTCAAAATTATTCTCGTAATGGAGCCCCATCCCCCAGCCTTCATTGTTCAGCCGTCTTAATTCATGTTGTAACATTTGTCGTTCTCATCCCTGTCGTCTGCTGTTCCATTTCATTTCATGTCTGTTCCGCCTCCTGTTGGCTCATTTCAGGACCAATCCCAGTGCTTTGTCGATCGTTTAAATAACCTAAAAATTAACATAACCTAAATCATATCCTGGCCGTTTGGCTTAGAAATAATATTTTAATCGGGGTGTGTGAATTTTTAACGCCGTCTTATTGCGTGATGCGGCCAGTGGCTGGCCGGCCAGGTTGTACAGCTTTCCCCGATACATCAGTTAAAGCTAATTGTGAGACCAGAAGGTCAGAAAAATTCAAAGCCTCAACAACCTGTATTTGGATGTTTTTGATGATCCCGCTGTCAGTAGGCCTACTTGTGGCCATTTAGTGGCATTCTTGTCAACGATAACAGATTGAGACACTTAGATGAAGAGCTAAAACAATAAAAAAAACTTCAAGTACTTGTAGATATATATTATATGAAACTGCAGGCTTGGTGTCGACTTTTTACTGACTTGTGGCTAAGACACGTATGCAGCACGGAGTTGAGTAGATTCAGCAACAACAAAGTTGAAGGAAAAGAGAAAAGAAACGTTTGAAAACTTTCTCAGCAAGAAGTTAGATTTTGTACATGAATGTAATGGAACGATTTCATGTTTAAATGTGGACGATAAACAAAATGGAATCTTTAGAAATAGCATTGCCAGGTAAGAGGCAGGTGGTGAAGAAGAAGAAGACGAGGAAGGATAAGATGAGCTTTCAAGAGAGATCATGAAGGTCATTCTAGAGTTTATGTTGCTTAACCTGGTAATGGGCCGCTTCTGTCCCGCCACTACAGTCACAATTTGTATAAAAATGTATCCTGCACGGACCCAGCAAAGTTTTAAACTGTTGCAGAGAAGGGCCTTGCAGGTGAAGCACTGGAAGGGTTTTTTCCCTCAGTTCTTGCCGAAAATCAGCAAAGATGTAAGTAATATCGGACTTCTTGTCATTTGCTTCCAGCTTTGATACATTAAACCTAATGCTTAAAAATGGTGAGAATAGAGATAATTCCAGCTGCAAAAAAAAATTATAATAATTATAAAATGTGCACCAGCTGTCCATTTTACCGCAGGCTTAGGCCTACCCGACATTAACAGAGCCTTGGATTCACTGAACAATTTACACACACACACACAAAACATTGAACCTAAATTTTGTTTAATCAGATGACCGGTGTATTACACACATATTTGATTATTTTTTAAATTTGGAAATTATAAATTTTCTCAAGCTGTTAAAAAAACGAATTTCAATGTATAAAAATAAGCAGGCTATTCAATCAATTTTAAACGGAAGACAAAGACTGGGATGTTCGCTATGAGTACAACTCCAGTTAACATATCATGCGTGAATGGACCCCTGCGTATTGGAGTGCATGTTCTTTTCGTGTTGCTGTGCATCTTGTTATGTTGTGATTTTTGCTTGCGTCCTTCCCTATATGTTTTCTGTATCTCTCTTGCTATTAATTTTTTGTTCTATCGATAATATATTTTGAATTTTGATTGTAAATAAAAAAAAATTATTGTACGATGCACGGGTCAGAAATTGAATTAAAATAGCAACACTTTTCATGTTAGGATTTGGAAGTTAACTAAACTTGTGCTTTTTTTTAAATTTGATTATAAAGTTGCTATAGTTGGCTATAGGGTTAATCTGGGTAAACTTGTGGATTAGATTTTATCACGGTAAAAACTGATGCAAAATTTGGTTTTAACCTGAAATCTGTGATGTACATACTTATATATTTCATTGCTTTTCTTATGATTTTGATTATTATTATTATAAAAGCATTGTTAATAACTGTTAATGTAATCAAACATTCAGATAGCAGTAATATTTGTGCATAAATTTTACGAAAATTTGTTTGTATATAGTTTGTAATATTAATATATTAGTAATAGCAGTTTTCTTGTAAAGTCTTTTTTATAGATGGTTCATTGTTTTATTTTAATTTTGAAGCTTCAGTGCTGGATGCAATGGGACTGGCATGAACTTGTGCATACTCTCACTTCACTCTGTGCAATGGGACTAGTATGAACTTGTGCATCTCACTTCACTCTGTGCAATGGGACTGTCATGAACTTATGCATATTCTCACTTCACTCTGTGCAATGGGACTATCATGAACTTGCGCATCTCACTTCACTCTGTGCAATGGGACGGGCATGAACTTGTGCACCTCACTTTCCTCTGAACTTTGTTTATAAAGAAAGTGTAGAGATCGTGATAGATTCAATTGGTATACAAATAACCTTACCTAGATTAATTGAATTCTGAGAGGTAAATTATTAAGTTTCGAAAGGATTGAAAAATAAAGAGAAAGTGCATCGCTTATTATTTTAGCGAATAAACGACCCCCCCCCCCCCCCCCAAAAAAAAAAAAAAAAAAAAAAAATTTTTGGAACATTTAGAATTTCATTCGCCAGTTCTTGGACGTAAAAAATTTTTGATTCGAATTCAAAGTAAGTTTTACGGGATTAAGAGACTTTATGGGGGGGGGTGCCGGGGGGGGGGGGGAACTACGCCTCTGTTGAGGCCTCCGTGGATCTTTATAAGGCACTTCCTTTTTATACGATTGTTGGTGCACCTTATTTGACTGTGGATCTGTTTTAACATTTCAAATGTTATATTGTATCATAAAAACAGATATATTTACTTTTTAAATTTTTTTATATTGAATGGGTGTTTCAGTCAGATTTGAACTCATGAATTGAACACACAATTCTTAATCAGTGATTTGTTTGATGAACTGACACATATTCGCACGTTTGTCTTTGATAGTTTTATACCTTATCATTTTGGATCGGAAATGTTTAGATTTGGATACAGTATGTAGCTGATTATGTAAATTATACACCGATGATTGAATTGATTGATACAGAGGCGAAAGACCATGAATCAGTTCTAGTGGAAAGATTTATGGCAGTAGGTCGAAGTTCTCCATATGCTGCAGCGCCATTGATGATGCTGAAGTAGGGTCAATGTGCCGACTGAACAAACAAATCGCGTCAGCTGCGCAATGTTTCGCCCCCGTGCACCAAGTAAAACTAACGAAATGCCCTGGGTAAGACGCACAGAATTTACATAAACTTCCCTCAAGTTATACAGATGTAGAAATTTATTAAAAATTAATTTTTGTATCGCAATATATTGGAGGGGAGGGATACAAATTGTTGTAAATTTTTATTTTGACTTTTTTTAAACCTAAAAATTAAAATGGTGACTATAACAGGTTTCATATTCTGATACTTATACCATAGTAAAAATAACTATTAAACTAATTTGCTTCTACTCTACTCTTCAAAAAATGATCAGAGTTGATCTCGAATGATATGCGACAGATTTCTAGTTATTAGTGTCAGGGTTTTTCGAGGTTTAAAAAAAAAAAGAAGTAAAAAA